GAGTAATAAGTATATCATTGAAAATTGGAAAATATTAAACCTCAGTACTATTAGATTATTTATAAACCAATTTACTTAAATTACTGAATAATAATTATATTATTGATACTTACGAAGATATTAAACCTCAGTGCTATTTGATATTTATAAATTTATAAATTTGATTATTTATAAACCAATTCACTTAAACTAAACGAGTACTAATTATACTGTTTATAATTAGAAATATATTAGCCTTCAGTGCAATTTGATTAATTATTAATCTCCCAAACACATTCCGAACAATTTGAATTCCGACAAAAAGCCACAGTCCACCGATAACCAAAGATTCATTCGAAATTCCCTGTTATGCATCAGATTCTTCCACTTCTCGATTCATGGGGCTTCAGATTCCAGCAACCCCGAGGTGCCCGTGAATGCCAGCTGCCAACCGATCCGCTGTATTAAATGCCATTCAAATTATTCTTCAATTAATTAGCTGAACGATTTTTCAATTGATTCTGCGGAGTCGCGTCTGCCGGCGTTACAGGCGGCTTCCAAGAGGTTCGTTATTCCCCGATTCGCTTTCGCCTTTACATGGGAATGGGTAATGAACTGGAGGGTTGGTAGTTGGTTGTCGGTTGTGTTATTAAGATGTTGCTCTGCGAGAAAGTCGGACAAACTACTTGTCGCACAGCGATGGGAGTGAACGGAGACTGAATCGGTGTAACACGAATGTTCTTCGGTACTTGTGATGTATCTTTTTGGCGTTGAAATGATTTTAATTAGAATTAATTCGGTCTCATATAAATTTAGATCTAATTCGATTAATTTGATTTCATTTAAAGTTAGATCTAATTCGATTGAGTTAATTTGACTTGACTTTGAATTAATTACTATAATTTTTGCAGTAATATCGTTGGCAGGAGGTTACATATATATTTATTATTAATTAATAGAATCATTGAGTATTCTATCATTTTTGTTGAAGAAATTTGAAATATTTAAATTTTTTCTTTACTGATAATTAAAATGTTTGAAATCAGATCATGAAGCTTTAAGTTCCTAATTAAAAATTAGAACCATCAGAATTACTGCTTTCAGAGAAAATTAAAATATTTCAAGCATCAGAATTAAAATTGCCAAAATCATATCACAAAGCATAAACTTTCCAATTTCAAATCACCTCCGCTGCAAATCTCAAAACCACCCCAAGTATCTCCCCCATCAAAACTCAAAATTCTCCGAACTCCATCCGACACCATCAAATCCCCACTTCGAACGGAAAACTCGCAGAACGACAGCTCGCAGTGGCCGATAAACCAAAAGAATTCGTATCCACCGGGACTGGCAATCTGCTGCGGTTCGTATCTATTACCACGTCGATCATTCACCGCTCTCGTCGGCTGTTTAACACGTTCGCGACGGGACTTGAATTTAGTGTACCCGCCGTGGGCCGATGTTATTTTTCCTACTTTCTCCCATCTGCCAGGACTAATTCGAAAATTATCTATGTATTTACTTTCTCCTTGCACTTGAGACCTTAGAGAATAATTCTCTTACGTATATAAAGATGTAAATACATTTAATTATAATTTGATTAATTTGATTTGATTCAAATCTAGATGTAATTGAATTAATTTGATTTGACTTAACCTTAGATTCAATTTGATTAATTCGAATTAAGTTTAGATTCAATTTGATTAATTTGACTTCAATTTAGACTTAATTTGATTAATCTGATTTGATTTCGAATTAATTACTATAATTTTTCCAGTAATATCGTTGGCAGCAGGTTGTATATGTTTGGAGTGCGAGGAATGCTCCCTTTCGATTTACAGTATTTTTAATTAATTACAGTAATTAATTTCAGTAATCAGTTATTTAAATGCTGTGACGCGACAAAAGTTCATGTACCACCGGTGACTCATCCTGTCCCATGGGACAGTAGTTCATGTACCACCGGTGATTCATTCCGTCCCATGGGACAGAGAAGCATGTAACACCGGTAGTACATACCGCCCCATGGGACAATAAGTATGTACCACCGATGGTATATTGGACAGACAAGCATGTACTACATGGGACGGAGAAGCATGTACCACCGGTGGTACATGACGTCCCATGGGACAGACAAAAATGTACCACCGGTGGCACATCCCGCCCCATGGGACAGATAACAACGTATCTCCTGTCGCGAACGTGTTAAAGCTGTCGCCAGGCTACAGGGTGCTCCAGGAGTGAGCGTATAATATATAGTCGACGAATACTCCAGAGCACCGGCAGTAAAACCGCAAACACGCGGCTTGGAGCGACCAAACGCCAAACCAAAGCTAACAGTATGGCTGTAGGGGAAGCGGAGCTTATGTAGTTCGGATCGAGGGATCCACCGGGCGGAGAGGAAGACAGAGGAAGCAAGAAGATCGAGCCAGAGGGAGGGAGAGGACACGCGCGGCGGAGGAACGTGGCACGCTGCAATTGTGGGAGACACTTTCTAATTGGATCTGCCGAATCATTCGAACAGCAGGATTTTCGACAAGCTTACTGATGAGGTGGTCTTGATTCGATGGACACTTTGCTTTTGGTTTCGTCTGTTTAGGTTTTGGATTTATTTTGGCTTTGTAGAGGTGGTCTTGATTCCTTGGACACTTTGCTTTCGGTTTTGGATTTATTTTGGATTTGTTAGGGTTGTTGGTTGTGTTAGGGGTTGCAGTGTTGGTTGATTTATTTGGATTGAATTTAATGAGTGTTTGAGGGATTTTGATGGAGATAGGTCTGGATGGAAATGGCATTTGCTATGTGGAGGATTTTATATATAATTAGATATTTCAATTTAAATAATTAATGATTTTAGGAATAATAAGTTTAGGAATAATTGGACAGTTCAATTCTGATCTGGTCTATCTAGTTTCTAGTTTTACTGTATTATTTTAAAAAGAGGTGCTAGGTGTTACAAAGTAATTATTTCTGATTGATTTAGTTGAATTGAATTCAATTAATATTTGAGGAATTTTTATGGAGTTACCTCTCGATGGAGATATCATTTGCAATATGGAAAACTTATAGAATCAATTAATTAAGTTAATACTCACAATTTGAGTTAATACTCAAAATTAATTAAGTTAATACTCACAATGTGAGGATCAGACACAAAAATCTCTTTTTAAATGAAACCCTATGCATGCCATAGCACTGTCCGTTGCAGGGAACCTGGCACTCTCGTCTGATTGGTCATATTTCAAGGCGCACGCCTGATTGGCTAAAACACTGCCGCCCATCAATCGGCTCCTGCGACGAAGAGTGGGGAGAGCCGTTTCGGACTCTCGATTGGAGCTCTCGGAGCAACTGTCAACCCCCCTATGACGTGACGAGTGCCAACTTCCCAGCAACGTACAGTACTAAATCTTTCGAATTACCTCATCAATGTTTCAAGAACATACTGACGTCGCTAATTGGAGATTAATTAACCACTGAATTACCAGCCGATATAACACATGAAAATTCAAATATAGTAGCAACAATCGCAAGTAAATTCCATTTATAATTAAAAATAAATATCAACCTTATAAAAAAGTTGATCCTCGAGATTTAACAACACTTCTATATACAGGGTGTCCTACAATTAACCATCATGTTGTGAAAATTGATACTCAAAAAATTCATTTTCAACAAAATATTTTCCTTATTTGTTTTATTTTACACGACATAATATTTTTTCTATTTTTTTGTCAGCTTGCATCAAGTTCACGTATATTTGGAACATTCAGGTGAACACTACGTCAACCGTCAATATCTCGGATAATCAATATCTAGAATATTCCACACGTCATGAACGTTCACACGCACAGACGTCGTTCGTCTGTCGCACACACGCACAACGTTCATTCTTACGGCCATTCCCTCAATATTATGCGGCGAATCAGAATATTTAGTAGCCACGGAATAACGATGCAGATCGGTACCGAGATTCGTGGCGGGCAGAAAACTTTGGTTGCTTCTTGCTGGTGTGTAGGCAGGCAAAGTAACAGGAACTGGTACGGATCGTTCGGGAAGTATCGGATGCAAGTACTAAGAAAACTTTGCGGAGCAGCGAATGGGAGAACTAAATACTTCTAATTACGGTAACTTGATTTTCGAGGAACGGAACTTTTCAGGTTTCATTCAATAACAGCTACTGCTCGCATAAGGGACCATGTCATTTTTGGCAGAAAATTACACCTCCATTACACCTTGTAGTATACGTGTAACACTTTTTTGAATCAGACATATTTTTAAGTTTATGCAGATTCGATTAAGAAATTTTTTTAAGGTTATGTAGACTTGAATCAGACATTTTTTAAAGGTTATGTCGATTCGAATCAAACATTCTTTTAAGGTTATGTAGATTTCTGAATTGATTCTTCTACTACTCTTCATCACTAGCTGCATCGACATTTTTATATACCTATCTGTATCGACACGGGTTAATTTGTACCCTGAACAAAATCGAAAATATTTAGTCTTAAACAATTATAATACAACACAATGATACACGATGATCTTATTAATGAAACTATGAAATGTGCGGATAGAAGTCAGCACAAAGAAAAAGAATGTAAGCGGCTCCTGGGCCAAAAATGACCCACGCGACAAACCTAGCGTTAATATGTACGTAGACTTTGACTGAACGGAGAATCAAAACAATTCACGTGTTTTATCAAATATACAAAATATGGTTGAATAAAATTAATTTGTTTAATAGGTAGGCATTATTTTTCAGAAAAGGAATAACAATTGTACAAGTTCTTATTAAGTCTCTAATGAATAACTTGTGGTTAGAGAAATTTAAGATTGTACACCGATAAAATAATTTATTGAACCGAGTCTACTTTTTTAATAAATTTTAAAAAACTTTAATCAATAATAATTGTAAATTTATTGAAATTTTAATATTAATTATTAGAAAAAATTTCCTTAGTGATAACAGCATAATATTTTTGGAAAGATCAAGTTTATAAACTGTTAGCAGCACGTTCCCTTACCTTGTACAGTCCCAGATCCTTGACGCTGCAGTCTAATTTAACGTTACGTCCTGCTGGCACTGTTTTATTTCCAATATCAGCGACGAACTCGGGATCAGGTATGGTAGTAACTGAAACAAACATTGTAATAACCGTTAATGTAAATGTAATAATATTATTATATAACAGCTGAAAAGAATATTATTTATTCCATTAAAATGTACAAAAATCAGAAAATATTAAAAACTGTTTTCTGAGCTTTATGGTGTTTCGTTTCCGTCAGTAACAGAGCAAAATAAGTTACTGCTGCTTATAAGAAAAATAAAAATTGAGAAAATTAATATTTTGGTTTCTTAAATTAATACAACGTTGCATATTGTAGAATTATTCGTTGCTGGGAACTTGGCACTCTTGTTTGAGTGGTCAGAGTCAAAGGTCCACACCTGGTTGGTGGAAGGAGGCCTCCTCCACTCCCGATTGACTTCTCCGCAAGACTGTCTCCGCCCCTATGACGTCACGAGTGCCAAGTTCCCAGCAACAGACAATACATTTATCTACGAAGGTCGTCAACCATATAAAAAATACAAAAAAGATGAAAACGTTTATAATTCTATATTTACATGTACTAAATAATTTTTTTGTTAACTTAGGAATAAAAATTCTATACACATTAAATTTCTGGAACAAATGAAATGAAAGCATTAATTTTGAGAAGAGAAGTTTGAATTTTTCTTACGCCCCAATATTCACACTTTGTTTCAGTAATGTATAAAATTACCCTAACCTGTTCCCAATTTGATGAATAAATCAATATTTCTGTGGTAATTAAAATCCTATGAAACTGCCACGTCGACGATTCAAAAACCAAATTGAAAACCTGCTGATTCATTACTTTAAGCCTAGCAAAGCCTGTACAAACAGTTTCATCCCTAACTTATGGTATATGTTTGCTTAATTCTCGCCTTTCAAAAATATTTAACTTGTTTACAAACTTCGCCATTAACTTGTTAGGACTGCGGCACGTATTCGAAGTTCAAAAAAAAAATTACGGGCGCGTGAAATAACAAGTTAGTTACTGATTCATTGAATTCCAATGCATTTTTAATTCCTATGCATATTAAATTGTATTTTGAATGCAATTTAAATATGTCGCTTCAATGCTGACAGAAATTATTTTAGAATTTATTTCTTCGGTGTGATTAGCTTTTATTTGAGAAAATACATTTTCCAAAATTTCAATGACCTTTGTCACGCGACTAAAGAATATCGAAGAGGTAATTAGTGGAAAATGTTTCGTTTAAACTTGTTTCGTAGTGTTCACTGTTACTTGAGTTTATTTATTTATGAGTCTATATAGAAGGTGTCAAAAGATGTCTTTTGAAATTTTAATTGGTCACCTTTCCTCCATTGAATTTTGGACATTTCCTATAGTTAATTTTACAACTGTTTGGAAAAGTCGAAAAGTCAATTCTAAATAGACGACTAAACTTGGAAAATAATTTTAACGCATTTTTCTAATAATTTTCCTAATAATTTTTCTAACAAATTTTCTAATCATTTTTCTAATATATTCTCTAATTATCTTTCTAATCATTTTCCTAATTACTTTTTAAATTGTTTCTCCAATAATCTTTCTAATCATTTTTCTGATAGCTTCTCTAATAATGTTTCCAATCATTTTCCTAATCATTTATTAAATAGTTCCTCCAATAATATATCCGATCATTGCTATAATCATTTTTCTAACAATGTTTCTATTTATGTTTCTAACAATTCTTCTAATAATCCTTCCAACAATTTTTCTAACAACTTTTCATCTCACAGCTCTCAATAAACAAGTTTAATCACCTTTAACACTCAATTAATTAGAGTTCCATAATTATACTACATAAAAACAAGTTCACTCTCAAAGATTGACCATTCACACCAACACTAACCAGATATACACACACATTACAAAAATGGCACATCAATAACAATAAACAATAACCAATCAAGTAATAACATGAAAAATACAAAATACTTTGCACCATTACACCTGGTATCACCTGCCTGAACGTGGCAAATTCAAAATGGCGTCGTCGAACCAAGGAAACAATATTTGAAACCATCATTGGCGATATTTTCTGTCCGAACGACGTTTTACAGTTAACCTATTAAATCTTTAATTTCATGGAAATATAATGGGAAGCATCATGAGGCAAAAAATGTGGCATAAAACGGCGGAATTGAGAAAGTAACAGCGGAATGAGACATTCAGGACATTTTTAAGCAAGGTACATACATCATAACTCGTCGAAAACTCGTTATTTCGATTGTAAACCATGTAACAATGGGCATCGCTCGACTCTGCCGCGTGAATATTAATGAGACTTAGCGCACGTACACAACATCGTAAAATATTCGATACATTCTGCTTTATGGCTGGCTATATTCATGTTTACGGACCTTGTGTTTCGAGATGAAGAACCTGCTTTATTAAGGAGCTTGATGGAGGGATGATTAAAATGTTAAATATAAGAATTGTTGATTTATGAGAAAAGTATTTAAGTCGGAACTTCGATTTGTATGGATACAAGCAAGCATTCTTTTATTTTTTATATAATTATTATTAATGAAAGAATTATTTATTTCGACGAGAATATGTGTAAAAAACAGATGGTGTGGATGTTTCACAGTATTCTCTCATGCAATATGTCCTTTAGGTATCATGATAACGGAAAGTACTTAAAGTCTTTATTGGAAGGTCATTGTATGTCAGTGAACGTCATATATGTGTTCACAGAGACAAAGCCTGTTGCTCAAAGTCCTCAAAGTCTTTATTGTCTAATCAAAGGTTCAAAACCCATCTAAACAAGAACTTTTATATACTACTGTACGTCATGCACTAAAATCTGCAAATATATTCACAACCGGAGACAAAGCTTGTCGCTCAAAGTCCTCAAAGTCTTTGGTCTATAATAAAAGTATCAAAAATCGATCTAGATAGAACCTTTTGATGACCACTGTACATTTCGCATCAAAATCCACGAATATCTTCACAAGCAGAGTCAATGCCTGTAGCTCAATGTCCTTTAAGTCTCCATTTCGTAAGAAAAGTCTTTATTCCCTAACAAAACAAAGTCTTTATTCTCTAACAAAAATTCCAAGACTGATGTGGCCAGAACCTTTTCATAACCACTGTACATCAAAATACACAAACATCTTCACAAGCAGCGACAAAGCCTGTAGCTTAAAGTACTCAAAGTCCTCAAAGTCTTTATTCCTTGATCAAAATCCAAAAATCGATCTGGCAGAGATCTTTCAAATGTCACTATACATCACGCAATAAAATCCACGAATATTTACATAAACAGGGGCAAAGCCTGTCCATCAGCCTCGTCGCTTAAAGTCCTCAAAGTCCTCAAAGTCTTTATTCCATAAGTGAAGATCCAAAACGGGCCTGACTACGAACTATCAAACACTACTATACATCAGGCACTAAAATCCTCAAGTATCTTCACTAACAAAGACAAAGCCTGTCTCTTAGCCACGTCACTTAAAGTCCTCAATGTCTTTAATTTGTAAGAGGTGCTGCAAAACCGATCAGTCCAAGAACTTTCAAACACCTCTCTGAATCACGCACTAAAATCCACGAATATCTTCACAAACAAAGACAAATCGTGTCCCTCAGCCTCGTCGCTTAAAGTCGTCAAAGTCTTTATTGTGTAAGAGATGCAAAACCGATCTATCCAAGGACTTTCAAACACCTCTCTGCATCACGCACCAAAATCCACGAATATCTTCGCAAACAGAGACAAAGCCTGTCACGCAACCCCGTGGCGCGTTGTCAGTCCCAATAAGAAAGCACCGAGCATCCCTCGGCAAACCGAACGAAACGATCCCCGATGTCGCAGCCTCCATCTTTCCCAAATCACGACGTCACAGGAGTATCCGAGACACGTGCTATCAGTTGTATTTCCCCGGATCCCATAGGTTGCATCAGAGAAGAGAGATCGATCGATCGGGAAGCGGCGTCTACGTGGACGCGCGGATACGCTTTGAGTTATAGGCGCTCGCCGGTCGGCCTGACAGTCTAGTTATTGAATACAAAATGCAATTTTTCAAGTCTGCCGTTGGTACATCTCGTCGCAGCCCCGTCTTCAGAAGTAACAGACTGTTCCCGTTGTGGGAGCTGATCGAATCCACAGGAGGATTTCGAGGTGCCCGCCCCGCACGATCGGGACGACCCATCCATCCTGAAATTCGCGATCGCGTTTCCATCGTGAGTAGCATTATTTCATGAACCGCGGCTGGGGCAAGTGGGATTCAAGGGTAACGTGTGCGCTGCTTTCGGTTCTGAGATTCTGTTGTGGTTTTATTTCATATGCAGGAAGGTAGTAATAAATGTGACATAATTGTGGTAAATATTTGAATTGTTATATTGTTTGATAATTTAAAATGTTTAAATTGTTGTACCATGCTTGATAATTTACAATATTTAAATTGTTATATAATGTCTAATAATTTACAATGTTTAAATTGTTGTATCATGTTTGATAATATACAATATTTAAATTGTTATATAATGTTTGATACTTTATAGCATTTAAATTATTATATAATGTTTGATACTTTAAAGTATATAAATTATTATATAATGTTTGATAACGTAAAGTATTTAAATTGTTAGGTAATGTTTGATAATGTACAGTATTTAAATTGTTATATAATGTATGACAATGCGAAGTATTTAAATTGTTATATCATGTTTGATATTGTATAGTATTTAAATTGTTATGTCATGTTTGATAATGTACAGTATTTACATTATTATATAACGTTCGATAATGTAAAATATTTAAATCGTTACATAATGTTTAGTAACACAATATTTAATTAAGGAATTGAGTTGAATTATGACAATCATGTTTCGTTTATTCTCTCCGAAAGTAGATACACATTTAGAAATATTAATTAGAACCTTTATATCTAAAACTAAATAGGATACTAATAATTATGAATTGATTAATGGAAATAAATATCTGAATTGTTGTATAACGTTTTATAACATAAAATGTTTAATTAAGAAGGTAGATACGTATTTAGAAATATCGATTAAAACGTTTATATTTAAAACTAAACAGAAACA